CTATCCAATAGCTATGAAGATTCTAAACTAACACGAATCTCATATGTGTCCAGTTTAAGGGTATTACACAGAAACACACCACAATAACATGAATCAAATATGTACTTTGCTCATTTACATTAAATGTCATAAGGTACATCATTCTGATTGGAGCTAAGGGCATACACTGTCTAACACATAATTATGACCGAAGTGTGTTTTTGAGATCAATTCTCTTTTCTCTCTTTTAGGTTATGTTTGGTTTGAAGTAAAAAATAGGGAGAAGAAGGAAAAGATAGAGAAACCTATATAAAGTTTGTAAAGAATTCCGTACATTTCCCTACTTTTTTCTTCAAACCAAACATAGCATTAGGGTTTTTTTACATTTAAGTTGTAAACTTGAGAATAATAGATTAATCACGAAAACAGCTTTTCACTACCATGAATGTCAAGATTCATGACTGAACCATGTAAATCTTGTCTCTCCTCTGTTCTCTTCTAGTTCTTGTTTCTTGTTTTCTTTGTTTACATCTCCAAACTATGAAACTTTGAGATTCATGGAATTGAAAATTCTAAATGACCTGGAAATATAACCGTTCTTGTCACCAGTTTTTGGGTTGATGGTTCAACCATCCAGTTCAAAAGGATGGCCCATTTCTGACAAAAAATAAAAAAAAAAATAATTAGAAATAAAAAGCAGCCAAAAACCATTAAATGGGTTGATAATTCGACTGCCCGAATCAATTGACCGTTAACTGTTGCCTGAACAATTTCTAGGCCAAATTGTCCGACTGTCTGGTTTAATGACGGTTCGAAAACCATGACTGTAGTAGTCAATTCCCTTTAGATCCTTATTGCATAAAACATAAAAGAAGGAAAGAAAAAAATGTAAGATGCGGCTAGATTCATATCAAATGTGATTATGACTAGCAAATTAATATCCTATTAAAATGGGTAAGATATGCTCTATACCTTTCCTAAAGATTAACTTAAGTATGCCAAGATCTGAGAATTAATTGCACCACTTCAGCATCTTCACGTAAGTTAGATATTTTCAACAGATCTTGTCTGGTTAATAGGTTGAATGTCCTTATCAACGGTGCCTTTCTCTTTTAATAAAGAAGTGATCCAATGAACACACTCTCATTGAGTAAACCATGAGTACCCTACAGTGGTTTTGTCTAGGAATTTTTGGAAAGTGATTAGGGCACATTCTACTTTTGATAAAGCAAGCACATTCCTATTGAAAAGACTAAAAGCCCTGATTTAAGAGGACAAAAAGTCAGGGCATAGGGGTGTTTTCGACTTTTACAACATGCACTCTTTCAATAATGATAATAATGATTTAAGGGTGCTCCCTCTTTATAAAAAATGGAGTTTTCTCAAATCACTGAACTTTACCTTTTGATATCTGAAACTTCAACCAACCGAGTGACAAAGGTACAGTTTGGTGCTCATGATTTAGTAAAAGCATGCTCACTCGGACTCAAGTCTTAATAAATATATGATATTCATAAGGGTCCCTTCACTTTCCCCTATTTCTCTTTACCCTGACCTTTTCAAAACCTCCAAAAACGGAGATTGGCTTCTATCAGAGAAAATCTGTACCCACACCAATCTAACAGACTTTTACATCTTGCATTGGGAATATCTCCTTATAAAATAATGTATACAAGTACGAAGATATTCTCAATGCAAGACAATAAAGGCTGCTTGAATGGGCTTTGCCCTGACTGAAACGGAACTCCCAAAAACCCCTCATTAAATAAATGAGTTTTTGCAAATTTGAGTTTGTGTGATGATAAAAATATTATATTATCTGAGATTTGGAGTTCTATCTCTTCATCCAAATGGATTTGGGACCTTTGGGTTGGAGGACAAAAGAAGAAATGTTTTTTCTTTTCCATTTTATTTTTTAATGATAATTTAACATTGAATCAAGGTTAGTTTGGTCATTAAAAATAATTAATGCCCTAAGTGAAAAATTAATATTTATTAATGGTCATTGACAATGACCTGACGGAAGGTAAGTTTTAGATAACATAAGTTCTATAACCGGGGGTTCAATGCGGACTTTTGAAAAGTCGGGGTAAGTTTAAGAAAAATAGGGAAAATGAAGGGGAGTTTTAGATAATATACAAAGGTGGTCTTTAAAACTTGGTTTGAGATAAAACGAAACTAGTTATTTGAATGGTTCCCGGTCCAAATGGTCGGACCGTCCAGTTCAATGAAAGTTCGAAAACATTGCTATTTACTAGTTTAAAATCCTTTCGTTTTATTGAATTTTTAACCTCTATTATTTTCAAACAAAAATGATAAACTTAAAAGGATGACTTTTTAAGTGAGAGTGGTCATGAAAATTTGCTCAAGAGCAAGACTGATTTACAGACATGAAATCCTATAGGTACACTATCTCAGCATGTGAGATATCAAATTCTTCTGTTAGGGAATGGGTTGCCATCTGCTAATAACATGTCATCTATATAATGGGTCTAAGATATCAAATAATATAGCTGGAAAATCTGTCCAGTTAGACTATTTGTATCATCGATAGTTTGACCATTATTGATTTGATATATAAGCATAAAATAAATCTCTATTTGTTGACTGATTAATAGGATATATATCTCCATCAAACTGCTTTATTCATATTGATGAAATGGCCCAATCATGGTCCAGAGCTCTGCCTGCAAGTGTTACAAGTGGGCAAATGGGTGATTCCTATATTGCGAAATAAACTAATCAAATGTTTCCCTTGTTCAACTTTATTCAACTAAAGAGGATCTAAGAACCATACTCAACCCTGTCTTGGATGGTTCCTGGAGTCAAAAGCACAAGGATCAATACACACTCAATTGAGTTAATAGTGTAAACTCTATAGAGAGAAACCATCAATGGATGTGTGAACTTTTATTACATAGTGAGAGGTCAAGCCAAGCCAAGCCAAGAAGCCTAATGCTCCTTTTTTTTTTTTCTAAAGTAGTAGCCAAGAATTGCCACAAAGATTTTTACTGAGGTGACAAAGAAGTAGCAAGCCAGTAGAATGCAGTTTCAATTTGGGTAAATTACAGTCATCCACCCTATACTTAGGTGGTAGTGACACTTAGCCACCCGAATAAAGACCCCTCTGAACTTTTGGATTCTACCACTTTGCCCCCACCACTAGCAATTTGTAAGTTAACTTCATAAAGTATTCTGTTAAACATTTCTAAAACCCCAGATCACCATATGTTATTTTATGAGACCATTTTATCCTTTTCAAATTAATTTTTCTAAAATTCCAGCTCTGAAACTTGTTTCTCTCAACTTTCCTTTAGTAAAGTTCATCCTGAAACCACTTTGAGAATGGTTGGTAAATCAACACCTTGAGAACAAATTTGTACTTTAAAATGGACAATTTATCAATTTTACTTTCATCTTCAACATGTTAACAGGTCAGAGGGCAAATTAAAAATGCTGAAATCCAGAAGTTATAGGGATAAACAAAGTTCAGGGAAGTTTTACCAATCCTCTTATGCATTAAAAGCTAAATAATATAAAAAGAGGTAAGTGATATATTATAATTGAGAAAAGTTAGATAAAAACGAAACAAATAAAAACAAAATAAAATGGTAGGGACAGTATGCAATGGTTTTGTCGAGGGAAATCTAATCAAGCCCTTTCCTTTAGGGTCCCACCGAGAGATATCACACACTCCCAATAGCTTTATATAACACCCACCACCACTCCCTTCCCCATCCTCAACTTTTCTCTGTCCAACCGTTCCTCTGCTTTTGTTATTCTGTGACTTTATTCTTTCTTTCTTCTTCTTCTTCTTCTTCTTCTTCTTCTTCTTCTTCTTCTTTCACTTGCTGCTGCTACTGTTGCTAGCAGTAGTACTGGTCTCTTTGTAAGCTAACGACAAAGCTGCCCTCCCCTGAAAGGGCAGACTGTCTCTGTAGTACTAGAGAGTACCCATACTTACAATAATGAAGGAGAGTGGCAGGAAACAAGGGGCCACATCTCCATGTGCAGCATGCAAGCTTCTACGTAGGCGGTGCGCGACGGATTGTGTCTTTGCACCTTATTTTCCGGCCGACGAGCCACAGAAGTTCGCTAACGTTCACAAGGTTTTTGGTGCCAGCAATGTCAACAAGATGTTACAGGTTCATTTCTCTCTCTCTCTCTCTCTCCAAGCATGGAGTATTTCTGATCTTCTCTGCAAGGGCATTCCGGTAAAGGCCTGAAGTCAGAATAAATACAGAGGACTAGACCCAATTCGCTCGTCCTCTGCAAAATTGTCTAAAATTCCAGGAGTTGCTAAGCAAATATTCATCCCTCATCGAATGCCTTTCGAATTCCCAATTCCCAGTTCCCAATTCCTAACTCCGACGGATTTGGGATTATGCTGGAAACTTATTCTACTCTGTTTATCTTATCGATTCAAGTACTTAAACAAGGGAAGTTTGGCAATTTTCTGTTACTCTTTCCAAACTGAACCTTAGGCTGTGTTTGTTTGCAATCTAAATTTATTTGCATTGATACAAAATCATGGTAGTACAAATGATTTTGGTGCCTAATTATGATTTAGTTTTATTTTAAAATTTACTTTATTTTATTTAATTACAGCACAAATAAAATATAGTAAAATATGATGCGGGATAAAGTAAAACCCAATATAAAATTAAAACAGAATTTACATTCTTTTCATTTGCACTCCCATGCATTTATACTAGTGCAAATAAAATTTCACTGCAACCAAACACAGCTTCCTTTAATATCAACCTATCACTCTAATTAAGTTGAATTGGCTGGTAGTGGATCTAATGATTAAACCAAGAAAATTACTGATAACTCCCTTGACATTGATTAATGCTACTTGTGCATTTAGTCATTTCAGAGCATTTTAAATATTTCTCACAATAACAAAATTTAAGAAATTGATTCCTCTTGAGAATTATATAGTTGCAGGAGTCTTCGAATTTCTTAGAAAAGCATTTTTTTTTAATTTAATAACTTTTTAATAACTTTCAGAAACTAAAGGATGCATTTATTGATTGGGGAAAAATAATTGCTTAATTTCTATTTTTCTACTTTCTATTTCGTGGGTGCTGATTTTAACCACCCCATTTCTTTAATAAATGGTTTCCTAGTTGCAAAAACAAAAAATAAAAAACAAATAAAACCCAATTTATTTAAAATAATAAAAATGTTTTTTTTTTTCCTGGCCAACAACTAAGATATGGCCCTTTATGAAAAACAGGATCTACCAAGATCACGACATTTTTTTGTAATAGTTAAAGGGTTTGTCGTCATGACCTTTGCTTCACAAGATAGCATATTTTCTATATTAATTCCAATAAAAAGAGTTGATGGATCAATTTGCACTTTTTTCTTTTTAAGAAACAGGACCTGTGGGTAGGGATTAGTACCCTATGATGGGTCAAAAGAAGGGTGGGTGGCAAGTAGTTCACACAAATATTAGCCATTTGAGTCTGCTTCCGACCTCACATAACGTTAATGATGCAATCGTGATGTCACTTTCCAAGTCATCCCTAAAGAGTCTATCCCTAGACTCTTAGCTTAGGGCTCAAATCCTACAACAAGTCTCCCTTCTATTCCACGACATATCATTCAGCTAGCTGTCAAGTACTTCATTCAGCCTAGCATCTTTATTTTGAGACTAGTGGTGAAATAGTTGAAACTGCTCAACAAATTTTGCTCATGCAAATCCTCAAATTGAATGAAGTTATTCTCTCATTTAGCAAAGCTCTTTGCATTTGTAACTTAGGGTCCGTTTGGTTTATTGGAATAGGGGTCTAAAATTGGAATTGGAATTGAAATTGGCTATTCTGATTCCAACTGTTTGGTTGGGCGGAATCAGAATCTTATTCTTATTCTTACTGGAATGGCATTCCTCCATTTGAGGGAATGGCCATTTCTTACCCTTCTCTTGGGAATAAAATCCCATTCATACTGATTTTAATTCTCATTTCCATTCATGTCTGAATCAAACAGAATATGAGAATGGACCATTCTGATTTCAATTCCAAAGAATTTTAATTCCAATTCCAACTAGAAACCAAATGGATCGTTAATTTGGATTACCCTTGTAGTATAAACAAATTAACATGTGAACAAGATTACAACTGTTTTAACTTTTAAACTACAAAGAACAGTGGTGGCTTGGTGGGGCTGGTTCATAATCTGTGGTTGTTTGAGTGTGAAGGTCAGAAGATCATTACAGGAACATGTTTTGGCCTTTATGGAATAAATGCATGGTGATCCTGTTTTGGTCGTATCCCCTGTCCATTAGCGAAAACTAATGCCAAGAGTGATCATGGGCTGGGCCTGAACCGGGTTTTGCACCTATTATAAGAGTTTATAAGGGTTATAATCTAGTCCTTGGTCCCGTTTATAAATAAAATAGCATATATACATATATATGTGGGCTGGGCTGGACTGAAAATGTTCAAAAATGTTCAGCACTACCCTAGATATAGTGGGGTAAAGAAAATTTTGAATTTCTGATGACTTTGAAAAACCTATGGGTAAGAAGAGCCTATCTCTATCGTTTTTCTGAAACATGCAGGAGTTACCAGTGCACCAGCGTGGAGATGCTGTGAGTAGCATGGTTTATGAAGCAAATGCAAGGGTTAGGGACCCAGTTTATGGGTGTGTTGGGGCCATATCATCTCTACAGCAACAGGTCGATGTCCTACAAACCCAACTGGCCCTGGCACAGGCGGAGGTAATCCACATGAGGATGCGCCAGGCGGCATCCACATCCAATCTCACAGTTGGCTCCAGTGATTGCACCTCACCATCACCCAACAAGCTTGTAATCCCTCATTCTAAGTCCTTCTTTGCCCTAGATATGGTGGTAGACCAGACCAGTTTCGGAGAATCCTTGTGGTCTTGCTAGCTTTAGCTTTTCATAATTCTGCTGTTCTGGACCTTTATTTTTATTTATTTTTGTCTTTTACCTTGGCTTTTTGTTACTTCTCTGTTATAAGCATCCTAACTTCATCCCAATTTGACTGGAGATGAATGTTGTGATGATGACCCTCTTTCTATCCTCATGGCTTGAAGTAGGACTTCTATCATTAACCATATTGATATAACATTATAGTGTATATAAATATATATATATTAAACTGTTGATTAAAGTTATTAGATGGTTAATGTAGGTGATGAATATTGCTGCTTTATGTTCCATCTTTTCTATATCTAATCCTCTGTTAAACTTTGTTGAATCCAAATGTAGCCATTCATGCGTGTATTTGACCATTCCAACACGTTGAATCAAGTGGGTGTTTGCATGGGAATTTGAGTGTTTTAAACCATCTCCACATGTAGTACTGGAATTCTATTAAACACATTCATGCTGTGTTTGGGGTGGCTTTTAAAAAGCAGCTTATTGTACTCGGAAAGCTAGAAGCACCCAAAAACACATTTGGTGAAAAAAGCAGTAAAAGCCCATTTCCTAGAAGAAAAAAAAAAAAATGTTTGGATAAAATACGAAAATCTGCCCTGAAGTTTCTGACAATAATAATAACCTCCTCTGATGTTTCATTTTAACAAAAACGTCTTGTAGTTTTACAAAAACCTGCAGTTACCTCCTTTACTTTTAAGTGACGAAATTATCTTTATAACTTATTGGGGCATCTTTCAACATAATTCAAAATGTCAGATATGCCCTTTTAAACTTTACTAGATTTAACGTTTTTATAGAGTAAAATTATTTTATTCTTTTTAATCTAATTTAAGTAATTTTTTTTAATTAAAAGTGAAAAATTCTTTTAAAAGTTTTTAATAAATTTCCATTTGATCTGATAGATAAAAATTAATGCTTTTGGCCAACGTTTTTATGATCGTCAGAAACCTCAGGGGAGGTTTTTATATTTTATCCAAAATGTTTTCTTCATTTCCAAGGAGCGGGTTCGGTAAAGAACAAGATGTTTGAAAAAATGCCTCACCAGTCACCAAACACCCAGAAAAAGCTCTTACTCGGGAAGTGCTTGTTAAGAACCCCGTTTAAGGAGGAAAAGCCCCTCGAAGGTATACTTGATGCATGCAATCTAGCGATTGATATCTTCCCTTGTTTGAATAGCCAACTAATTATCCTCCTTACACTCTTTTTGACGAATTTCTTTTTTCCCAAAAAGTAAATTGGATCAAGTGGAAAACAACCTGTTACTGGATTCAAAATGTTGGCTTTTAGAGGCCTATCAGAAGAGGACTCAAGCCCATGTTTCAATGGAACCCCCTTCATCCCACCCTAAAGAACAATAAAAGCACAGTAACAACATGGTTCATAAGAGATTATTTTGCTTGGGCTTTACATTGCTTCAGCACAATTACTGGGTAAACCCAACCCAATAGCTATTAAAAATCTCCTGGACCTGTTTGGTTTGAGGGAATAAGGGTCTAAAATTGGAACCGAAATGGGTCATTTCTAATTTCAATTGTTTTGTTGGGTAGAATTGGAATTACATGCTCATTCCTGGTAAAATGGCAATCACCCATTTGTGGGAATGGCCATTCTCTCCCCCTCTCTTGTTAGTGAAATCCCATTACAGCTGATTCTAAATCCCATTTCGATTTCTGTCTGAGCAAACAGACTATGGAAATAAATCATTCCAATTTCAATTCTCAAGGATTTTGATTCTAATTCTGATTCCGACTATTAACCAAATGGACCCTTAATCTAAAAAGCCCAAAAGACGTTCAAGAAAAGGATTTTGATTCCCATGGACTCTTGATAAATATCATGATGTCCAGTTTATAACAAGCCCAAAAGACATTGAAGAAAAGGAAGTGAATCAATCTATCGGTCTTTATTTGTTTGATTGTTTTAGTGTGTGTAAGAGAGGGAGAAAACCCAGATCAGCTCAGATTCAATAGGCTAGTATGAATTGGTTTTCGGAAATGGGCTCAGCCCATGACCACTAGATGCTACATATTATAATGTTCAATTCATAACAAGCCAAGTCTCGGACCAACCAGATGTAGCCTCTCCATCCACTTTCCTGGCTAATAACCAGGAAGCAGACACACTTGCTAACTAGGGTTACAACAACGAAATAGAAATTAGAGAAAATATAGAGGCCTTTGTGGAATTGGTTATATGTGAGGATTTATAGATCACTCCTCATGTACCTCCTTCCTTCTGTCTGCCTGAAACTGTACTCCATCTAGGATTCTAGGTTAGGAATTTGGACCGTGGTGTAAAACAAGTTCACATCGGTGGAGAAAATACAATTTGATGTTTGAAAGATTCATGAGCCCACATTGGAATGATGAATCAACTCCTAACCCAAAATAGGTAAATAAATAGGAAAAATTAATCCAGGGCCCATTAACAAACTCACTTAAAACCTACAAACTATAAGAACGTTTTAATTTATGTTGGAATTTTCCTTGATATGGTCTATTAAAGAGAATGGGATTTTAAGAGGTTTAAATTGCTTTGTACATGTTTGAAAGGAATAAGGTTTTGTTTGGCATGAAAAGATGTAATCAAATTTGATGGATTTGGACAGAATATTGTCATATCCTTTGCTAAGGTTCAGTTTGGAAGGAGTACAAATTCAAATATATACAGTGTAAATATATATAAAATAGTATAAAATACAAGGTTTTGCATTTTATATATTTGTATTTATACTCCTTCCAAACTGAGCCTAATGTGCATATAATTTGCTCAATAAAGACATGTCTGTGTCAAGTTTATAAGGCTGCTTGTGTTATAGTAATTTTTGTGAATTTTCTATAATTTCTTTTAATATTTATTTTTGGATTTTTCAAAATTTTCAGTGAGTTGCTACAACATTTCATCAATCGGAAGGTTACTGATGTGGCCATTGGGGTCCATTCGATAACTCTTAATGTACCTCTTATCTCTTAACATTTTACTTTTGCTCAGGGGTTTGACTATGATATGGAAAAGATATGATATCTGAAAAACTTCTGATCAGTCAAATGGAATCATAAACATGGTAGCCAATTAGGTGTTATTTATCAAAATTCATGAGTGGGTTTTGATTGGTCAAAACTCTTCCCATATCATATCTTTTCCGCATCCTAGATTTTGCCTTTGCTCATAATTAATTTTTTTCGTTCATATATGCCCTCTTACTACATCCTTTACGACTTTTACTGGATTTTTTGTGTAACAGTTTTGCCCTCAACTAATGACCCTAATTTTTATTTAACTAATGTTATATTCAATAGTTTATTATTGGTTAATGAGGAATATTAATTAAGTATTGATTATTCACTTGTGTTTTAGTGAATTAGTAATTAATTTATATTTATTTAGTGTTTTACTGTTCTATTTTTGATTAAATAATTAACTTATTATTCACTATTATTTTAATAATAATTAACATTTCATTACTCAAATTAACTACAATTTTTAGTTAAATAGTATTTTCTATTAATTATTAATTAAATTATTATTTTTTATTTATTACTTGATTAGATAATTATCATAAGATATGTTATTAAAGATTTATTCTATCATTAATATTTTATACATATTAAATAATTAACATTGTTAATTAAATAACCATTTAGTTCATATTTATGAAACTTATTTATATTTTTCATATTTTTATTTAATCACTTTTATTATTTATTGTTAAATTTTGGATAATTAATTAGTATTTTATTATGAATTAATATTTAAATATTAAATACACATTTATTAATTTTATATTCAAAACATATTAATTTATTTCTATTATATATTTAGCATTTCTAATTAAATAATTATATATTTAATAGTTATTAAAGTTATGCATTAATTAATAGTTCAATTTTTAATTCTCTATTATTAGTTAATTAATATTTTATAATAAAATTCTGATTAATTAGTTAATAATTTTATTATTAATTAGTATTTAATTATTTAATTATTAAGTAATCATGAATTAGTTAATTATTGTTTAACTAATTAATTTCTTACTTTATGAAATTAATTTCAAAATATTTAATGTTTTAGTTAATTTAATTTGAAAAAAAATTAATTTAATTTTTTTATTAAAATTAAATTATTTAGTATATTTTATTTAATTAATTTTAATTTTTTAATTGAATATTTTCTCCAATTGAAATAATTAATCCATTTTTTATACTTCAAATGCATCTTTATGGGCAAAATTATAAGGTAACCATCATTGAGAACTTAGTGTTCAGCATCTAGGCCAAGTTTGGGAATCGGGAGTGCTTAAAAATAAGTGCTTATTTGAAAAAGTTGTTATTTTGAGTTGGGACCACACCAATAAGCACTTATTAACATTTGGGAAATAAGCTTGAAATAAGTGCTTATTGAATAAGCCCAAAATTCGATATTTTTTAAGTGCTAGTACAATAGGCACTTATTCAAACTTGTGTTTCCAATATTGACCCTGACTAGATTTCAAAATTCTACTTGTGCCCTTCGATCGATAAAAAACATAGGGTTTGGCTCTTCAACACTTTCTTTTCCATCGTCTTCTCCAAGTAGCGGTAGAATGACAAATTGATTGATTTAAACTAGTAAAGTGCTTTTTTTGGTTTTTTTTTTGTTTCTTTTTTTGTTTTTTATGTTTCATTTCACTCTTTGAACTAGAATAGTTTCTTCTCTATTGTCTTCTCCAAAAACTAGTGGTGGAACTACAACTCAAACTGACCAACTAGGTAAGGTATGCTCTCTTTTCGGTTTTTTTCGTTTTCTTATCCTCAACTGATCAACCAAGTGTTTGTTTTTTTTACCATTTAAAAATCTATTAAATCATTGTACATGCGGTACTCTTAAAAACAGGGGTTAAAGTTGTATTTTTAAATGAATAAGTGCTTATTAGAGTAAAAGAGCACCAAACACCCAATATGGAATAAGTGCTTATTTTTTAAAATAAGCATAGAGGTGTAAAGTGGGTCGTGTTAGGCTAGCAGGACAGGACTTTGCGGGCCACCAAACACCCAATATGGCCTGACTCATAGGCCTAAGTGGGTAGTGTCTACCTAGCATGAAACCACTAATAGGTTAGGCTTGGCACAACCCATGGCATGAGCCCAAGCGGGGTTGGGTCGCTTCATGGGCCTAGGTCAAGTAGGGCTACAGGCTAAGCTGAGCCAATCTTTTCCTTTGTTTTTTTTTTTTTTTGACATTTCTATTATTTTTTTTTTCATTTTTTGCTAAGTATATTCTAAAAATGATACAAACTTTGG